GTTGTGGTTGTGGTTGTGGTTGTGGTTGTTGTTGTTGTTGTTGTTGTTGTTTTGCGCCGATCTGAAGCTCAGAGTGCCTTTGGGCGAAGTGGACAAACATATATATACGGGTTTATGATGGTTTATGAGGGTTCGTCGTTCGTCCCACGTCCACGGATGTCATGATCCGATGTCGTCAAGTCCTCTCCTTGGTCTCCAGGATGGTTTTCCTTGCAACGCCCCGACATCGTTGATGCCCGAGAGAGGGGAGATTAAAAAAGGAGAGAAGAACCACAACCGTCGTGTCTAAGCCCTACGACCGCCGGCCCTTGAGTGTGAAGATACCTTTGGAAAAAGAGATAAACATCTGACTGTGAGTCAAAACCTGAAGCCGCAAACCCTGGTGGGCAACAACAACTCTTCTCTTCATGTGCTGCGGTCGACTGTGACATGCGTTGAGCACGTTTTGGAGCCAGGGCAATGCTCAGGTGTGAGCTTCAAAAAAGCTCGAAAACCCTCGGTTCACCAAAACCTCGAAGGGAAGCGCAGCTTCCTAGAGCCAAAAAACAAACTAACTAACAGGTGACGGGGTGGCAGGGATTGGTTCGCTACCTTATAGGCGAGGTAACTGCAAGGGTAATTTGGGATACACCAGGATGAACCCCCAAGAGTTTCTGGAAGAGAAACCATGGACAATAAACCAATTGGCTGGGAGTCTCCCTCTGCGCTTTTCCACAACCATCAGTCATGGTTCGTAAGCCAGAGATCCAATGGTGTGGATGTCAACCACCCCAGAAAAGCTGTCCCCACTGTGTCGACCACCCCCATGGCGCCGCACAAAACGACGGACACCCATGCTGTGGGCACCTTTGGAGCATCATTTGGGATCTCCATCGAGCACCGAAAATGGACAGATGGTCTAGGTAGGGTAACTCTGTGTCTTTGTAGAAACATGCAGGTTGCAACAAAGTGCCACAGATTTCTGTCGCCTTTTGAACCCGTTTGAATTGAACAATCCTGATGAGGCATTCCGTCTCTGTGCATCCTCATACGCTTGGATCGTCTTCATTCCGTCTCGGGCAGCTGCCACGCACTTTGCCCGGCAAACACGATCATTGCTTCGACCCATGTGCTGTTTCGATGTGATGAGCCCCTTTCTGAAGAGACTTCGCATTCTGCTGCCCAAGCCCTCAAGGCC